CAAGTCTCTTCGGTCATCTCTTCCCCTACAGCTTCCTTCGGTCTACACTTCTATCAGGATCCAATTCACTTCTTGCGTTTGCCTTAATTACCATATGACCGCCATCAGCTTTGCGCGATGGGTCGGAGCGACCCAGTTTCAATTTGAACCAGTACCTGGTGAAGTAGAGAAAAACTCTCAGTCGCTTTAACAAGGATCCCAATCCAATATAAAATGATGGGCCGATGCTTAGGCGAACCCTCACAAATTATTTTCCTCTGAGAAGTGTCAGAGCCGCCCGTTACATTACGCTTCCTACGACTGAATGGCAGTTGAGCTTGTGGTGAGTAAGAATTCAAGTCAGTACTGGCATTTTGGACTATCGGGGTTGTGACCAGTGGACGTTGCAGGCGATAGTTCATGACCTCTTCGTCCGCGTAGAGCTTTGCACTCGCAAAGGTTGAGATGTCCGCTTTTTTAAATTTGGCTTCTAAGCCATAAGTCGGGTGAGAGGCGTGTGTTTCTCACCCAGTTCCAGCGTGAGTTTTTTTGCATCGACACTACCGGAAGCGGAAAATACAAGATGCACCTATTCGGAGGTTACTGTGTTCCGAACCGCTGATTCATAAAGCTCAAGTGGTCTAAGGATGGCCTATGGGTCGAGAAAGCGCTTATAAAGCGACTTCTAGCGCTTGTTCTGCTCCTGGTGAGATCGTAAGGTCCATATACATAGGTTTGCAAGGGCCCTCACCGGCTCGTCAACCGTAGTCCCGTATTCTAATCAAATTGATCATTATATTTTTATCCATTTTCACGATACAATCTGGTCAGGAATGGTTGTGACCCTTGCGCTTGCAGTAGATACCCTTGAGCCAGATTCAGCTCATTGGAAATGAGCACCATATTGTCTTGGGCTTCACGACGGGGTATCCAAGAACTTGTCGCCGATAAAAACGCACAAAGCTCGATTATCATTCTGAATATATGTATTCTCTAAAATATAGAGCAAATTAATTGCGGTAAAAGTTCTAGATTCCGCTTATAGCAGGAACGCACATACCCAATTTCTGCATGTATGACGTCGCGGAATTTGAGAGCAAAACCACTCTCTGTGTGAAGAGAAGGAAAATTAGTCGCAGTACCGGTGACAAATTGCTTAACGGCATTCTCGATGCAGCACTGCAGAAAGACCCCTTGCGGAAACATTAGCATCAAGTTTGACAGCGTCATCCATCGTGCTTTTTTTGGAAAACTACGTCATCTGACGTTTGTTTCACTTTCGACATGTATGTATGATTGCGCTGCTTAGAGTTTGCCTGATCCTCGATGTGGATGCTGTCCAATGCTCATTCGTAAACAGGCACTGTGACTTTCCAATCGAATGTAATTTCTGAGTAGAAATTAAAGCATCATGAAATTTGCGTAGCACGCCGAATAGCCATCGCGCAAAATGCTTATAAAACAAGTTATTGGTCTTTTGTCTGATAATGAGTATTGAAACACCCACATTAAGTTTTGACGAACCAACTCAAAGAACGAGCGCTCGCACTCTGCAAGAACAAACAAATATAGATAAATTTAGAGTTTGCGCTATTTATTAACATAACGAAACCCTTTTTGTATCATTTACTTATACTTGATGTTTTGACGATCCTGTGTTACCCATTTCGCGCTAATCGATATGTTCCATTTGTCTTCTCGATTCACGTATATCAATTCTGCGATAGAATAAATCTTCGTTGCCCTGTATTGAGCTGCATACTAGCGCTATTTATAATGATTGAATGTTGTAGCATCCTTTTAAGTGTCGTCTGTGGCGCTCCGGACTTTGCCATCGGCTGTGAACTGCTGCAAGTAGTCACCGAGGGACGAGATCGGGTGCTCTCATTCGAATCTCGTCAGCTCAAGGCTGCAAAGAAGGACTACTTGCGTTGAAGTATGCACATGTCAGGTTCAGGGTTCACCTGCTCGGCTCCAAGCCGTTCGTGATCTTCTCAGATCATGCGTCGCTACGCGCTGCGACTCGATTGTCTCACCTCTCACAGAGGATGGCCAGGTGGCTCTGATTCCCCGTAGAATATAACTTCGAGATGAAGTGTAAGCCAGGAAAGCAGAATGGTTTGGCTGATGCATTGTCACGCAGACCAGATTATGAGATTGCTCATGTCACTGTGACGTCGTCCGTGACGGGTTTGATCCGAGCCGCGTACGTGGGTGATGATATGTGCGTAGCGTTGCAACAGGCTCTCGTAGGCAAGGAGTTTGGAATCTCAGACAGAAAGCTGTCGTAGCGACTGTGTTCACATTTGCACCGA